GTTTAGAATTGTAATTCGACGTAAAATGATATAAAACGTCAAATGTCCCAGCGTTAGACGTCAAAAGGTTAGTGAATTCAATAAAAATTTGAGCGGAAGATTGAAAATTCATTCACTTTATCTTAGTGCGCGAGAACCTCTTCTCTACTCAAAACTTTTCTCGAACGAAGGTTGACGACCATCACATGTAATCTTTCTTTCATTTGATGCAAATGCATTTTATGTATGATTTTCGTTTGTTTTGACCGATTATTTTTGTGCTTTTGTTCTTCATAGGGGCATTTTACTTTCTCTATCATCGGTGACGACACTTTATTTCAACGAACCCACCTTTTGAAGGTTAATTTTCGTTTTCGTTTTGAAAAACTTTTTTGTTGAAGTTGTTTGTTGTTATTTGGTTGAACTTGTTTGTTGTTGTTGTTTGATTGAACTTGTTTGTTGTTTATATTGTTGTTTGTTGTTGATACTACGTTCATAATTCTTGCTTTATAAAATACCCAAAACTGAAATTTGTTGTTTTTCTGCTTTTTCAGATCTCGCAGAGTTGTAAAAAAGGATCACAATTAATTAAAAAAAAGAAAAAAGGTGATTAACGTCATATATTAACAAAATTCGACGTTAAGTTACGTTGTATATTGACAAAATTCCGTCAAATTTTTTTAATTCGACGTCAATTTAACGTCTCCTGATATGATGTCGTTCACGAATTCGCCATTAAAAATCGACGTTGTAGACGATTTTTGTACTGGGGATAATAATGAGATTTCATTATAATGTTTTTAGTAATCTTATTTTGGTTGTTTTGTAGGTAAAAATGACAGGTTTGATTCATTTTCACACTCTGAGATTACAAGCTTATCGGGTCTAAATTAAATAAATATTTATTCTATAAAAGAATTAAATATTAATTTTTTAACTATTTATTATAAGCAAATAAAGAATTATATTATGAAAACAAATATATTAAATTAGATCACGATAATCTTACACACACACACACATATATATATATATATATATATATATATATATATATATATATATATATATATATATATATATTATTTTTTTTGTTTTAATTTTATAATTCTTTATTCTTTTTCACTACACTTTTTTCTTTCATATTCTAATTGTTTGGTTTATTCTATATCCACAAAATTCATTCACATCTTTAAGGTTTTCATCTTGTCACAATTTTACTTATATTGTTTTTTTCTTTGTACATGTTCAAATAATGTATTATATGTACAAATGTATTATCAATTTCAATAAATAGAATAATTTGTAAGTCTCACATTTATTTATTTCTTCTCTGTTATATTTATTATTTTAATAAGAATTTTTAACTCTCAATTTTAAGTATTCAATAATTTGTTTAAAATATAATATATAAAAACTTATCTTCTTTATTATCTTTAATCTTAACTTCTGTCTCATTCAAATAACTATTATTATATCAAAGTAATTTTCATCATTTCTCAACCATCCAACTAGCTCAGTATCTGAGAAATTTCTTAAATATCTAGGGTACTTTTCATCTTAAAATACTCTTAATTATACTTTTTTTTTCTTTGAGCAATTTCATTAACAGTATACCAAATTGTTTCTAGAGCACACATTTAATATCTTTTACTTCTTTTTAATATTTTTATTTGTTGTTTTTTTATGGTATAGAATATTGTCTTGATGATTTTTTATATAATGATTTTTATTTTTAACTCATTCTCATAAGTGTAATTTTAGCATTGTTGATTAGTGTATATTTATGTCCTCATTTAGTTTTTAATATTGGATTCTTAATTGATTTTTGTACTTTAATAAAATATCTTAATCAGAATTTGTTATATTTGGGTTTATTGAGCATGAGATACAAAAATATGATAAACATAGTTTTTTCAGTTGCATAAATACTCTTTGGATATTTTGAGGTGTGCTAATGTAGTTGCAGCTAAGTTGAGCTCATAGAGGTGTGAAAATAAATTGGTTAAATTATCATGGCACCTTAAAGATAAATCTAAAAATAACAAATAATCAAGACCACAAGAAGTTAATCTAAGCATACCATGAAAAAGTAAAGAAATTTTGCTAAGCGAAGAAGAGGAAACATGTAACAAAAATTGGATATTGAAGTTTTCTCTATTTTTTCTACTAAAAGGGCTTTGATAATTGATAAATGTTTATGATTAAATATAATTTGAGTAAAATAAATATTAAGATATTTTATTTGATATTGTTAAATAATTACCTTAGTTAATTTATATAAATAAATATCAAAAGATAATATTTGTCAAATCTTTTTTTAATCTAGCAAATATCTTCTCAAATATTTTTAGGTCTCCACAATAATCAAATATATGTTGAAGATATTGGATTATTTAGAAGATAATTGGAGAATATTACATTATCATAAAGAAGATTACAAGAACAGAAAAACTTGAAACAAACCAATCCAATTTTTATATAAAGAGACTTAGGAAAACACATTAGTGGAGCTTAGGAACCCTTTGGAGGTTCAAATTTTGTCATCTCTCTAATTTCTTAATTGGATTACGAGGTTAGATGAATAAATTTGTTTGTTCTTTTTTATTCCTGTTGTGATTTATTTTTATATATGTCTTTTGCTTCTTAATCAAGTAAAAGTAATGGTTTTTACAATATAGTAAGTAAGCATGGTATTAAATCTGCATAAATATCAATCATATGAGTCTAAAGATTTTTATTTTTAATTGAAAACTTACTTTGATTAAAGTTAGAAACTTTTATGTGATTAAATAGGTTTTTAGCAGTAATTGAGAATGTACTTTAATTAGTAGTAAAAATATTAATAAGAATTAATCAAGAATGTACTTTCCTTAATTAGCTTTTACTTTGTATAACAGGTAAAAGAGTAGATATGATTACGCATAATAATATTTAATTGAGAACGTACTTTGGTTAAATTTACTATGATTTGCTTTTAATTACTAATGTACTTAGTTAAGAGTGGGAACGTCAATAAATTAGTTGAGAATTTACATTGGTTAATTTGAAAATCTAAGAAAATAATTAATTGAACAATAATCTTTAGAAAACCAATAATGAATCCGATTTTGAAAAAGTAGTGAAATCGACCCATTTTCTTTATCATTGTTCTTATCTTTTTAAATCTTTTAATAAATTTTTTTTTTCTATCTTTAGTTATTTTGTTCTTTAATTTGTTATTGATCTTTATCTTCTTTATTGTTTTTGTTTTAGTAACTCTTTTTTATAGTTTTTATAAGAACTAATTTGTTAATAATTAATTTCGTGTTCATTGGTAGACGACTTAGGGTTTAATTTACTCTTTCTATTTTGTTGACTACTATCTCAATAATACTGGTATAATAAAATTCAAGGAAACAATATAAGCTTGTATGTATGCCTTGAGTTATGAGTTAAATACTGTGATGTATTTTAATGCAATGACTATTTTAATGTGTTATGATGATATGAATATTGGAGTGTATCTTACGTTATATCCCAAATTAAACCCCTTACAATATAAAAACGAAAATACTAATATATATATATATATATATATATATATATATATATATATATATATATATATATATATAAAACCCCAAGTATACCCCTCTACAACCCAATTCCAAAGATACGCGTAGATAATCATTCCCCGTATATAGTATAGTAGTATTATGTGATAACCCTTATCTAGTATTGATAGTTGCCTATTAGAGTAACAAACAAGTATGTGATATCTTACTCAATGAAATACTCTTATTTAATAATTCAAAATAATAATATTTTAATCGTGTTAGTTGTATTTTTTTAAGTTTGAAATTTAATACACATTGTTATATTACAAATGGAGTGAAGTAAATGTATTCTCTTTCATGTTGTAGACTTTGTTTTATGTTGTATTTGTATTGTTAAATTATAAAATAACAATTGACAACAATTAAGGAAGAAGATAAATATAATAACATCCACACCATCTAAGTAAGAGAAAAAATTAAATAATAAGATTTCAATTAAAAAGTATGAATTTTCTTAGTACTCAATAATAACAAAAATTTATTAGAGTTAAGTAAATATATCTAAATTTATGACTTAATTAAAACCTAATTAAGGTTTAATATTAATTATACATGCTAAACTTTTACATAAATTTGGCATATTTTTTAAGTTTTACAAAAAATTAAAAACTTGCTTAAATATTTTATAATTATTTTTATTCAAATTTTATTTTATTTAATAATTTTTAAAAAAAAAATTTCTTGTATCAACAATATTAGATAATTCTTAATTTTCTTTCAACTAAATTCACCATTTGTAATGGAAATAACGTTTTAACTAGATGTAGTATGTACAGATACTAACATATTTTATTTTAAATTAATTTTAAATATAAAATTATAATCTTATAATATTATTTATTAAAATTTTTTTATTAGATCTATTAAATGATTTATAAATATTTTCATTCATTCTACACTCTATTTCTTTAATTCAAAGAATCTTATTTTTCACTCAAACATATCTTTTTAATGTAGAAATACTTTCATTCATTTTACACTCTATTTCTTTAAATTTAAAGAATCTTATATTTCACTCAAACACATATTTTTAATCCAAAGACACGTTAAAGATGTGAAAATATTATTTTTCTATAAACGAAAACTGCCATTTCAAAGGTGTCACACATTTTGAGCAGTGTAAGGGGTCCAGAGTCAATTGACTGAAATCAAACAAAGTTATTCATTCACTCACGTCACCTACAGTACAGTACTACATTAGTTGTAATTTGTCCAGAGTGCATCTTTCTAAAAAACAATTAATACTAAATCCAAACTAATTTAATTTTCTGTACTTTTTTTTAAAACTTACCAAGTGCATCATAATTCATCTAAAAAAAAGAAAAAAATAGATAGGAAAATGGTCCATTCCTTGGAAAGTCAAATAGAAGCCAAGATTTGTAACCATGTACGTAGTTTCACATGTTTTTCTCTCTCCACATCTTGTGTCTCTCTCTTAGTCAAACACATCCCCCACACTGCATGCTTCACATCTATAAATTGATTTCTTTCATCACAAGTCCTTCATCTGTCCAAAGCCAAAAGGACTTTGGTGTGGCCTCACTCATGGAAGTGTTAAACCCAGTTGGAGGCGATACCTATAGGCTCCCTGTTGGGTACAGGTTCGACCCCACCGATGAAATTCTTGCAGGCTACTACCTCAGGAAGAGGATCATGGCACACCCACTTCCCAATGATCTCATCCAAGACTATGATGTTCACCAGACTGAGCCTTGGGAGCTCCCAGGAGGTTCGTCTGAAACATACAGCACAAATCTCCCTTTCCATCTTTTCTTCTTTTTCTGGTTTTTTAATCTCAGATCTTTTGTCTTTCTGATGATTCCCAAAGACATACCTATTAATTTTAGTCTCACAAATAAAAGTTTTCATCGGTTTTCTTTGCAGAAATTAAATTCAGGTTTTGTTTTTCACCAGTTTAATCAGTGTTTGCTGTTGTTAACTGAGTAACATGGTTGGATTTTGGTGATTTTTTGTCAGTGGACAATGTGTCCGAAAAAGATCCGATTTTTTCAAGCCCCGGAGTGATCTAAACAAGGGGATCAAAATGGAGTTTTTGGTGTTTTGTGTTTGGTTTGGTTGTTTAAAATATGTGTGTTTGTTTTTGTTGTTTTCTGTAGGTGGGAAGTACATGAATTGGCAGAGGTTTTTCTTCTACGATGTGAGGAGCCGTGTGTTGGGAAACCCTGAGAAGAGAGATGCTGGGAAAGGGCAATGGGAAATGGTGGAGAAAGATGAAGAGGTTGGGTTTTCTGACGAACAAGTCATTGCAAAGAAGAGTGTTCTGGTTTTCTGGAAAGCCAAGGGTAGCTCTCTTGCCAAAACAAAATGGGTGATGCATGAGTTTCGTCTTGCCCTAAAGTCAAATCCATCAAAGGTAAACAACACAACAGTATCCATCCACCACCTTTCTTACAACACTCGATTTCTTTCTCACTTTGCTTCATCTTTTGTTATCACTTTAGCACATTTAAATGGTTATATATGTTTGATGTTTGGTTTGTGGGTTGTGTTACTGAAATTTGAAGTGTAACGTAGATGTCAACCTTGGCTGTGTGCCGCATATTCGAGAGGAAAAACTCAAAGAGGGCAAAGAAAGCAAGAGTGTGTGAAGGGGTGAGGTCTAACAGGAGCAATATTGAAGAAGCTAAGGATGTCACAGCCACTGTCATTGATTTCACAGTGGAGTGTGGCACTGAGACTGGTCCTCCTCCTCCTCCTCCTCCTGGGACCCCCTAGTGAAACTGCATAGTTAGTTAGGTTTTAAGTTGCTCCAAAAATCTTTTGTAAGATTTCAATTGTGACGCCCCATAGGCACCAAAACAACTTTTATCCATCTTTCTGCCGTGCATCATCTGTGTATATGGGCTCATAAATTTACTTAATAAGAAGCAACTGTTTATTATTCACCGGTAACGTCTTATTTTATTTCATTTTTGTCAAATTCAGAATACTCATCATGCTCCTCCACCCCGAATAACGTTGACTGTTGCTTAGGATTATCAATCCAAAGAATACATACAAAAGGGGCATCCAAACAAAGTAGGAAAGAGGTTCTCTATTATCTAATCACAACCTTTATGAAAAAACAATAAGCGATACCCTATGTATGGGTAAGCAAGCAAGCATACAAGCCTCACAACAAGGATGGTAGTGCCTAAGTTTTTGAAGCATCTGCACATGGATTTGATTCGCATCCTTCTTTCCATAGAACTCAATGCTCCATTTATGAAATTCTTCCTTTCACGTTAAGGAGGACAAGATTATTCTTCTTGGTGAAAGTGATAAGGAAAATCGATATTTGAACATCTTCGAGTATATATATATATATATATATGGTTCAAGGAATAAAACTAGATTTTAATTATTGTATCCTATAGTTGTTTAAATGGTTTACTTAAAAAATGCATGCTAGTTATAATGATTGATGGCCCCTTTAGTCCCCGAAAAATTAATTACGATCTGTCTATGTCTGTTAATAAGTATTCGACAGGATGAGAATATTTGAATTATAAAACATGGCGTTGGTCAAGTAGGTGAAGGGGTGAAGGCACAAAATATTCTTATATGATTCTCCCGCAAGCTCAGATAACGCAACCCCTGCATTCAGAATAAGATTCTTCCCAATAATGCCCACGCTGTTACCCTTTTTTAAATATTGTTTCCGTAGATCAAACTTCAAACCATCTCTGCTATCTCAATCGTTTTCCTTCTTATATAAATATATAAACTTTCTAACCAAATATTTAGTATAACACACATAATTAGATATGGGAATATTATTGGCCAAAAACCTGGAAATCCCATCAACTTCTTTCACATTGAATCCCATTCCCCTTGCAAGTGGTGCTGGACCACCATCATTTCTTTTCTGTAAATGGTTGTTTCAAATTAATTCTTATCTTTTTATGATGATTTAATAAATAACCTCCTTATAGGTATTTGATAAATGAGGTGTGCATATAATACCGCAGCTTTGTCATCGATCGTACTGTAGTATAGTATCCTTGGGATGCTGTGATACAATTTTTAACAAAGACTGACACTTTTAACAAATATTTTATTTTTTGTATTATTAACGAATTAAACTCCTGATCACATCTGAACCATTGTATTGATTACAAAATGCTCAGATGTCATGCTATAAGAAAAACACTAATAAAACACTCTTTATTATTAATTCAAAAGTATAAAATAAGAAGTTTTACAAGTATAAAACTCTGCATGGTTTTATATCTTTCGATCATTAATTCGAAAGTAAGTTAGAGTATAAATATTGAAGACAAAACTTTAATGCGCATAGTAATTGCATTAAGTTAAAGTAGGATAATGTTATAATACACATGGTCCAAAAAACAGGTTTTTTGGTAAGACTTGTGTTTGTTACAAGGATTATGCATGACAGACACATTTCATTAGAAACAGTAAAGTAGGGATACTTTGGACATGGTGTTAAGACATTGGATTCAAGAAGCGTGTGTGGTATCTCTCAAATTGTGCAAAGAAAAGAGCCAAGTTGAAAAGTAACAGAGTGAGAACTGCCGACCAAAGTTTCTTGCCGCTACGGTAGTAGAATCTTTTGATATATAGGGATTTTTGTGCATCACTTGTAAAATTCCTCACGTCACTGACATCATGCACAGTAATGTGAGGTTGCGTAGTATTTGCTGACTTTCCGGGACAAAATTGTCAAATGAAACAGACCTACATACTGGACCATATCTACAAAAGTTTCTCAACCATCGTAGTCAAGATTTTCTCAACAGCGAAAATATTGGGAGGTGCTGATAGCGACGCCTTTTCTTCATCTTTTTTTCCTCATTTCTAATTCTAAATTTTGTATAATCATGCACACAAATTCTCACTACACTTTCTGCAAGTTTGAAGTTTGTCAAGTTCTTTTGTAAAGGGTCATCGCAGAATGACTCTCTCCCGCCAAAGTTTTTGTATATTCAATAGTGAAGATAGCATTCAATCCTAGCTATTATTACCATATAGAATCAAATCCACGTACTAAGGTGTTCTGTGCTTCTGCAGCTTTAACATTTAATGGAGCTGCCAAACATGAAGTTATTGTAATCTGAATTATAGATGTGTTTGTTTAACTTAAAAATGTTTGATTTCTATCATTAAAATTTTCCCAATGAGTGCAGAGAGAGACAGAGACGGTGAATATCACAAGCAAAAGAGAAATACTCTTTATATTATTATATTTTTCAACAACAACAAGCATCGTGTCATTCAATGTAGGAAATATAACATCATTCAGAATGTGATACTTAACAATTGCACCAATCAAGATAGACAAGAAAAAACATATAGTTATGATAATAAACTAAGTGTGGAACTGAATGTATGATTGCTTTGAGTGGAGTGGTAAATGAATAAACAAGCAGGTTAATTTCTGACATTGTACCCCAGAGTCCTACGTTTAGCATTACATTTCAAAACTTAAACCAATTTTTCAATTTCAACAACCTTCTTAAATTCTGAACACAAGCTTCCAGAACAGCTTCATTCAATAAACCGTTGAGATTTTGATTAGAAGAATGAAGTAGGAAGAGTAAATAAAGAGAAATTTTTCTTTATTGTCTTTACCTAATTGTAACACACTTTCTCGTCACATACTACCATTCATCAATTGTACATGGGCTTATTAATTATAATCCACCATCCAATTTTAGAATGCCAGCAGTTCCAGATAAGCCATTTGAGGTGCTGGTTTCTGCACCCAGTTAGTTAGTTGATCTTAGTATACCCAGATAGCAACTCGACGTGATCCATTAAGAATAACCTAACTCTGCTGTGTTTCATTCAGAGAAAAAAAAATAGAATAGAAATAAGTTGAATGAAGAGAAATAGACAAGAAATAAAATTAAATGTATAGTTGTTTGGTAGATAGAAATTAGTGAAAATAGAATAAGAGATTCTTTGAAAGCTGTGAATTGATTGTTTATATAACGTATATAAATAAGATTATCATTTTCACCCTGATATAACCAATAGTGACTGTTGAGTATGCGCGGTGACATGAAGAACAGCATTGCCACTTTAAATTTAAAACATGTACACTAAAATACTTCTCAAACCAGCAAGACCCACAACACATGTTCTTCAGTCTCACACATCCAATATAATTTCTTTGAAATCGAACCATCATTAATCGTTATAAGTTAATTCATATTCTTTCATCTTCCAAATCAATAAGAGTGTTTGTGTACACACATACAAGTCCATCGTTTGTTTGTATCGCCACATTTTAAATGTTATTTTTGATTTATATCTTATGCACACTGTTGTAACTGAGAATTTAGGAAAACAGAAAGAGATAAATTAATGCTAAGTAAATGAGTGGGACTAATACTAAATTTTAAAGTAATAGACTTAAACAAGGATATATGTGAGCAATGGTATAGGTGGAAAGAAAAGATCTAACCTGGCTGAAAAATGAAGAGACCGAATATGAAGATACAATTTATGATTTCCTGTTTATGAGAATGAAAATACAATTTAGATAGGAAGATTTATTTCATTGACTGGTTTCAACCAATATCCCAAGCCATGGTGATGCAGGTCCAATAAAGATAAATCAGGAAGGGGGATGGTCAGATGTGAAGCCATACTGTTTGATACAGAAATTAACGAGGTAATGTTCCACCTACTTTGGTACTCTTACTGAGCTTGGTTAATTTCCAACCATGAGGGAGTAAAGATGAATGCTATTACTGCAACTAGGGCATCAGTACCATTACACCAATCTTTGTTATCACCATCACTGCAGAGAAAGCTAGTCAATACTTTCAAAGGACAACATTAATGCATGAAGGAACATTTCTCACATGTTTATATTTATTCAATATAATAAAAGTTATGCATGAGATTAATCCCTCTTATGTTAAATATACATATAAGATATAAGTTTATAACAGAAAATATATGAACTAAATCCAAAATATAAATAAAAAATAATAATAAATTAATTAAAAATAAGATATCAAATAATCTAATATATTTAATAATATTTAATGGATTCTAAACATTATGACCATTATTATTAAGGATGCACAGTCTAAACAAAAGTATTCATATCAAGAACCCAAATGTTGCATCTATTCAATCCAATCTCATAGTTGAACAAACTATCATTTGCTTAAGTCAAAGTGATAATTAAACAAGAAATACAAGAAGAAACACAAAAATGAAGATAGAGACTAAATATAAAGTAACAATACAGGTGAATTTATGTCATCACCGTTTTTTCTCAAAATGAAGAACATAACAAATCTATAAAGGAAGTTACTTCTATATTTTAATTACCAAGAAAAAATGAAACGGAAGATAGACAAAATTAAACTCGTAAGTTGTACTGTTCATCCCCTCAGTCTCTTTGAAGTTGAGCATGGCCAACATGCATTTGCGGGGGAAGGGGAAGTAGTGCTGTTCTGTCATTGATCACCACCAAGATCTGTACCATTCCCATCATTATCACCACTACCCTACCACCATCACTCAACAGACTTTGTTAACACCATCATCACTACTGTAATGGTCCTTACCACATACCTACCAGCATTTTGGTAGAATGCTTAATATCTTGAATTCAGAATGCAGTCAGACTTTCATTGTATAAAATTGAGAATAAGTAGTATCATTAATAAGCATCACCAAAATAAAATAATACAAATTTTGTTTCCTAATTAATACTTTCAGCTCAACTTCCTGGATTACTGCCCCAAAGCTATGAGGGATTATGAGCTTCTCTTGCTATGATATGATAATTGATATATTAGAATAGTGTAATCTATATCTAGTTTCATTAAATTGTCCTTCCTTTTTAGAAAAAACTTAATTATAATAAGATGCAAGCTCAAGTAGGATAACATATTCAAAATGTAAGGAGACTGT